GGAGGGAAACAACAGATCCCTGCAATTTGATACGGCAGATTGTGGGCTATGTATCCCATGACCTGTCTAAGTTAAAACCTATAAAATGGGGTATAGACAATGAGAGTGTCGCACGAAATGCCTATGTAGCGAGAGAGTGTGTAAGGCACACACAGTTTGGGTGCAGCGAGGTAGGATTTCAGATCGACAAGGATGAGCCATTCTTGGGTGTGTCAAGTGACGGTGTTGTAGACTGCCAATGTTGTGGCAAAGGAATTATCGAAATTAAGTGTCCTCACAAGCATGCCAATGTCGATTTGACAACAGCCGTTGTTGGAGACAAACTATTTATGTTGGACTCGGATTTAAATCTGAAGTTACAGCACCCATATTACACACAGGTGCAGATAGGTATGCGTGTACATAGGGTGAAATACTGTGATTTCATAGTGTGGACAACACGTGATTTACACATACAGCGAATCAGATATGATGCAGAGTTTTGCAAGCATGCAACAGCAATCTGCAAGGATTTTTTCATGCAGCATATTCTACCCGAGCTGATAACACGAAGGCTTGAGGCACAAAGCGACTCAGGAGCCACCTCTCTCACTGTGGAAACTGAGGAGGTGTGGTGTATTGCAGAGAGCCTAGCATACTGGGCGCATGAATATAATCTGTGATTAATGTTGATTGCGCTGTAAGTTGGTATCACTACAAAGTGTGTCGGGATATCGTAAGAAACATCCACAGGCGAACTGGTTTTTCCTGAATCCGCTGGGATCTTGATTGACTAGGGCCAAACAAAGTTATATGGCTCCCATCATTCTAGTAAGTGTGGGTAGTCCGCTGAGTTGTTCGTGTCCGTGATTAATTTTGTCATTGGTTAATGCATTAAAACACGTTGCTACAGCCTCATTTATTACAATTGTTACATATAGGACTGTAGTCATAGAGACCCTAAAAACGCTCGCCTGCAGGACCCCCTACAACCTCTCACCATCTTGGAGAAGTATGCAGGGTATGAAGACAAGGTGCGCACTGGTCACCTCGGCAAGACCGCCACATTCTGGCTCAGTGTGATAGACCACACGCGTCTGATCTTAATGTTGCAGTATTCTGTGAAAACTAACAACTTGGCCCTCTTCCACAAGTGTAACGGGGATATGGCAGATCTATTCTTTGCATATGATGGACAAAACTACTCCAGGTAATTCACATTTTAGCCCAAAAGTATTTTAGTATGATGAGTACATGTTGATTTCATTATCTGATTGCGTACTCGTGATGAAATACTCATGTACATCCACTTCTCCACAGATACTTGGTGTGGCTGGAGGTGTTCCTGACGAATATTGATCAGTCTCATCCTGGGGCTAAAGAGCTACTAAAGAAGGGTGGCATCGCGGTGGCACGATCTCTTATCCCTGGTGCTCTTAGCGCAGTCCTGGTATTACTATAACATTTTTCTATCATTCCATTATTTATCTCTCCAGGTGGCTTCGTTGGGCTCTTCTCCATGTTTGGTGCCTACCAGCGATGGTGCCGTACAACGTCAACACGGGCTCAGTACTTTGAGAAGATGCTCGAGATGTGTGGCCTAATCGATAANTATCGTGTATGGTCACTTGCGCGGGTGGTGGGGAGCAGCGGAGAGAAGCAACTTGTGCCAGGGTTTGGTGGCTTCATCTCAGCAACTGGCGTCAAGCCCTCACGCAAGTCGACCATCGACTATTTCACCCCCATCAACCAGCCTTTCACTGAGTACTCAGTGATAAAGGAGCTGCTGAAGCGGTCAGAGGATGCCACCATGCAGGTCGGTCAGGAGTATGTCCTCAATACCTTCGACCTTGGTGGCTGCATGAAGGCCCTCCCACTCATTTGGAAATTCCCTGACGAGTACAAAAAGCATGTGGTGACCCCAGGGCCATTTCACACCGGCATTGGTAAGGAGGCCAAGGAAGCATTCATCCGAGATCGCTTCATGAATGGCTCTTCTGAGGCGCTGTTCTTTGAACCAATCAAGAGGCAGAAGTTGAAGACAATGGAGGCCTCCAACAAGGTAGTCAAGCTTACTGCATCACAGGGAAAGGTATGTGCCCCTATTTTTTAATATAACTACGAAACATAGCATTGTGCGAGTTTTTATTATATATTATAGTGCTGAGTGTTGGTGGAGAAAAGGCTTACATGTTTATGATATGAATTTATGTATACTCACATCGCCATCTGATGAGTCCAGCTGATACGCCCTGCCTTCCACCACTACCACTGCAGTCCTACTTCTTTCAAGCCGAGATGCCGCTGCCTTGCTCCCCCACACACGGAGTAGTAGATGACAGAGCTGTGTCTTGTTATCTTCGTTTGTCAAGAACAGTCTAAAGTCACTTGGCTTTCTTGTTGCTGGCCCATCTATAATGTACCGCTGGGAGAAGCCGCGGCGCAATCTCTCCTGAGCCTTGATGGAGTCAGCTTGGTATGAATCGGTAGAGAAGATAAAGTTATTCTTAGCCACCATCTGATCAAGCACCTGGAGGCAAATATCACGGAATGTTGGGGGCAGGTTTGTTAGGGCATGCAAAAGTGCGTTGCCATCCTGGATGTAGAGCGCATCTTTTGGATAAGGCACATCCTCAGGAGCATCTTCCATCAAGTAATGAAACATTGCAGCCTTATTGGTTTTATTGAAGTACCCGTCTGCCGTGCCGAGGCTGTGAGGGACTGGGGTAAGTGAGTACCGCATCAGCTCGTCAATGTCAAGAGGCTCATACAGGTGCTGAGACTTGACAAGCAGCATGAAAGCGAGGTCACTCTGCTCACGGTACTGCACAACCTATAAAGTCAAACATGAGAAGAATAAATTACAAATCACTTAGGCCTGTATATTGTACTGCAACCATGGTATATTTTAACAATCTGGCGATGCTTTCCCATCCCAGTATCTAGGTAGATGGTGAGTGAAATAGAGTGAGCATGATGCAGGAGGATCATGAAAATGTCGGTATCTGGCGTCCTCACTACAGCTGACTTGTACCCCAGCTTGGCAGCATAGTTGAGGTATACCACAACCCGAGTGTCTGTCTCCTCCTGGTTTGACACCAGCTCATGGATCTCGCGTACCGTCACCTGAAGGCTGCATGGTACTTAGGGTGTCTCTGTAGCTTCTTCAGTGGTCCGACCTTGCCTTTGCCCTTGAAGCCACTCGTAACATCCTCACCGGTGAATACGTACAGGCCGAGTATCGTGGTGCAGTAGTCTGCTCCCTTAGATTCTGCCAGCTCACTAACACAGGTGAGTGTGTTCCTTATTTGACCATTTCAGAAGTAGCTCAGACAATTAGGTAATTGATGAACATAAGTACAAGTACAGCTTGATTGTATAATGTACCAATGTATTTTGTTCTTATTGTTTCAGGAAACTTGGTGATGATTGGTCTGTAAAGCCAGAGGTGATGGATGACATCGAAGCATTCACGTGTCTGATGTATGGCCAGACCCGGGAGAGGTCTATCAATGCCGTACGCAGCATCATGCTGAAGAAGATGGTGGGGGAGGACACACAACTGACTACAAAATCTAAGGTGGATCTCTCCAGGCTCCCACCTTGCAAAGACAACCTCGTCCCACACATTAGCCGTGTGAACCACCGTCTTGCCAACTACAAGAGAGCTGACAAGGCGATCTTCGAGCGGCCGAAGCCCTATGATCCTGGACAGGGCTGGGAGAAAACTGAGAAGGGTATCTTGGAGCCAGTGTGGTCGTGTGGCCCTATCCTTCCTCCTTCCCTCATTGACTTGCTAGAGAAAACGACTGAGGAGGTGGAAGAAGGTGAAGAAGAGGAGCAAGAGATTGATTATGATGATCTTCTTAATGACGATGATTAGATATGCAGTGGCATGATGAAAAATGATATTGCTACTACCACTTCTGTAGATTTGTTCTGTCGCACAAGATGAGATAGTAATAAAATAGTGTTCTTCAGATGTGACTATTGAAGCGGACCTCCTGAGCAGTGGTTCAGCGCCAGTTAGGGCGCGTTACACACACGCGGGCGACGATAATAACTTTTACCGGTTTGTAAACACACACGTCGGATGTCCTGCGCGCGCGACAGCGGCGCTTGCTATCCGTAGTGCTTCATTAGTTGCATGAGCTGACACTCAAGAACACTTCATGATAACTTAGCTTATTACCTGTTTCTGGTATTCCAGCAGTCTTTAAAGGCGCATGTGGATCAAGGCATCGTAAGTTCACTCGGGGTACTTCCGTCAGAACCCAGTGGGGTAGGATAGATAATTGTGTTCTAGAGACAAATAAATCTGAGGGCGGCAGTGCGTAATAGAACGAAGATGTATGGGGTGTGATGTGCTGGTGGTGTTTTTATGCGTGTGTTTCCAGTCAATGGCAAGAATTGCAGGTCCAATTCGGAAATGATTATGTTACAGATCGTTTTATCGCCGCCAAGTGTGAAGTTTATTTGAGCGGAAAGGGGTAATCTCCTTAGACGGGGCTCCCACGCTCTGCTCTCCTACACCTTTCTAGCTGGAGAACACATGATCGCCACCGTATTGGTTGATGTTTACGTCACAATTTAGTCCCCCAGCATTTCTGTTTTTGATTGTCACGCTAGCGACTCGCGACGAAAGGACGTTGCTCTCTAATTTACAATTTCAACAACGAGTATGGGTAGTCTACGTAGGAAGAGGGGGCTCCCCATGCACCCGATTGCATAGTATGTGGTTCTGAATTAGCTTGTGTTTGTGCGTAATCCTCCGAGAGTCGCTAGCTAAACGAATTGTATGTTCCCAGTACGAAATACCTGTGTCCCAGTGGGGGTCCGCGTTTGGGCGGCGCGATGACGTGTTGGGAGGGCCACTGCTTGAAGTTGCCGACGGGAATGAATCGGATGAGAATGGCGGTGTATTACTTTAATATATAACTAAGATTCTATCATACAGAGACCTAAATACCTCTTCTTATTTTTTAATGTTATGTCTATAATATATTTCTTGTATTTCTGAGGGTTAATATTTCTACATTTAGATTCTTTTGATTTATACTTTATATTTTCTTTTCTCTTTATTTTATTATATTTTTATTTTATTATTAAATCGGTATATAACTCCCTAATAATCCTTCTATCTAAATATTACATTCTACTATTATTCTAATCCTTTATATTCTATTATATTAAAAGCTTCCATGAGGTCAAGAATCAACTGGAATTCTAGTCTCATTAGGGGTAAAAGAATAAAGCAAACACTTCAAGATGATNTCTTCTTCTTCTTCTTCTTCTTCTTCTTCTTCTTCTTCTTCCTTTGCTTCTCTTTCTTCTTGTTCACTTTCTTATTATTGTTATTAGCATTATCATGAGAAGTAATAATAATCTTGTTGTTTTTGCACATTAGATTTATTATAGTGAAAAGTTTACTTAAGCAGAGCAAGGGGTAAATGTTACTCAGTTTATCTAAAGTATTATAATGAAGCATTTATAATTAATCACCTGTAGTTCCTCAGGAATAGTGAGGTGTGTCGCAAGTTGAAGACTGCTCTTCAGCGTTTGCGCCTAAAACGTATAAACGTATAACAAAAACTCGCCGATAAGACAATATATACACACGCGCGCGCTCGCATATAGGCGCGCATCCGCGCGCGCGCACGCACACACACACACACACACGCGCGCGCGCGCGCGCACACACGCCGCC